TTTATTACAAAGAGAATATGTTATTTTGGTAATAGGATTTTTTTTTATAGATAGGGCAAAGAGCCCCAATACACCATGTTATACATGGCAAATTTAGCCTTCACCTGCACCGTTTGCCCTGAGTTGTTAGAGAGCCATCCTGCCCAAACAGCCTGTATGAGAACCTCAGAGCTCAACTCATTGTGAGGCACATGGGTGGTCTCTGAGGTTCTAGAATTCCCAGGAGCTGTAGCTTAGCATTGGGAGCTTCTGCTCACAGTTTTCCTTCACAGCTCTTGGGTGCCCTACACCAGGGTCTCCTCTTTCCCAAAATCCAGATGAAGAAGTTTCTCTTACTAATGAGTCTTTATCTGATTGGATGTGCCAGAGGTGAGTCCCCTATCTTAGCTCTGGGAGACTTCTTTCAGGTCTTCTAGCCCTTGAAGAAGGAAGACCAGAATATTAGTTACACAAACCAATCAAACTCAGAATCAGGAATAGCTAAACCAGTTCAACTCTGAGAACTCCTGAGCCAGTTGATTTCTCCTTGTTAATGGCTTTACCATCAGAGAAGCCTGCTGGCTTAGCACTGTCTCATTCCTACTACTTTTTTAGCCACTCACCATTTGTACCTGATGCTCTGAGAGATGAGAAAACAGGTCTAAGTGTTCTGTGGAAGTCCAATGAAGGTTTGTCCCAATGAACTGAGTGCAAGGGATCCTTATGTAGTTAATGTAGCAAGGAAAGATAGAAGGAGATAGGAATGTGATGTACCCAGAAAGCCATCTCAGAACACAGCAGGGCTATGGGCAAGAGACCTTATGAGCCTCTCCTTCATGGCCAGGTTCTACCCATCCAGTTGTCTGTATTTCCTCTTTCAGGGTCCTCATTCATGGTGGGCTGTGTTCCCTCATTCCTCCTAGAGGAGAAGAGAGAGACCATGAGCTCTGAACTGTTGGCTAAATGACAAAGTGTTTTCTATAATGTTGGTTGTCCGAGATTTTGTTTTTTGCTCTCTTAGACTTTCAAAAGTTGACTCAGAAATTTAGATACATAGCTACCAAATGGTAGTATATGCCAGCCATGTGGCGAAGCAGTGAGTTGTCAACTCTAAGAATGACTAAGAAATGAGTGTGCTTTTTCAAACCTTTCTACATCAGAAATCTCTTTATTATAACTTCTGTTAACTGTTAAAGAATCAATCAAGCAAATAATATTCAGTAACAACTTTTAAAAATAAAAACCTCCCCATAGCCTTTCCAAACCTTACCTTTCCTTATCAACATATTCTAAGCATAGTCTTTCAGAAAGTCATTGATTATAAGGACGGCAAATCACCCAGAATATATGTATCTATTGTAGGACTCTTACAGAGATAAGGGTAATTTGGAGCCCTAGGCTACCTTGTCCTCAACAGATCTTGTCATTCCTCTCAGCTTTTGGCTAGGATTAATAATTCAGTTCTTGTAGTCTACCCACCCTACTCTGGGCTACTCAGTCTAATCACAGAGTAATAATCAAATTGTTTGGTGCTACTTCAATAAAATGAAAAGTACTACCTAAAGAATATTTGTATAGTAGTCACTGGTGAGATGGATTAAAGGTAGAAGGGACTGGCCAGAAGAGAATGACCGGCTAAGAGTTTTTTTAAGTCCCAGTGTAAAGTGGGGAGGAGAGAAAAATAAAATTAATTGAACACTTAGGCAATAAACTAGGCACGTCATAATTTATCTTACTGAAACCTCATGCAACTACATGAAGTAGGTATAATGGTACATCACAAGGAATCTCAATTCAGAAATAAATAAGCAAAGAATGTCTTTATCTTAATAACTGATCCCAACTTTGAGTCTCCAACCCACATGGATTGGGGACTGAGTGTAAAAAAGAACTTGAATTTGCCAAATAAAAACGTCTTAAATCCCGTCTGATCATTTTTGTGGGTTCATTAGATATTTGTCATCTCTGGTTTAAAATTTGTCCTGTCCAAAGGGTAAAATCTTCTACCTTCAATTTCAGCAAGAATTACTTAGCTATTGAACCGAGTTGCTTTCTCTTTCCCTTTTGTATTTTCATCCTTCCTGCCTTTCACCCAGAGAGGAACTGGAGGGAGGGCTTGTGGTAGACTTCTGATCTTGTGATTGATGGCATATTGATTTCCTGATGCTGGCTTTGTCAGGGAAGCACACCATTTTCCCTTCAGGTGCTTTTGGTACATGGGCTAGTGGGCTCCCCTGTACATTTCTTAATAATGTGGATCTTAAAATTGTTCCTTTAAATGCCAGAGGCGGTGGGGACACCTGGGTGGCTCAGTCATTAAGTGTCTGCCTTCGGCTCAGGTCATGATCCCAGGGTCCTGGGATCGAGCCCCACATCAGGCTCCCTGCTCGGCGGGAAGCCTGCTTCTCCTCCTCCCACTCCCCCTGCTTGTGTTCCCTCTCTCGCTGTGTCTCTGTCAAATAAATAAATAAAATCTTAAAAAAAAAATTATTAAGATTACAGGATCCTAAGCAAGACAAATTGGAGAGTTTTGTCATAAGCCAAAATAAACGGTGGTGGTCCAGACACTCCTTCAGGCTCCTTTTCAAATTTCTGAATGAAAATTATTTTGGATACACAGTACTATCCCTTCATTAACTGCCATTCAAAAATAAAGGCCCAAAACCTTGGAATTCCAAAAGAATTCTCAACTTGAAATATGGTCTACTGGGGTGCCTGGGTGGTTTAGTCTGTTAAGTGTCTGACTCTTGGTTTTGGCTCAGGTCCTAATCTCACGGGTCCTGAGATCAAGACCTGCATGGGGCTTCCCACTCAGGAGGAATTTGCTTGGATATTTTCTCTCTTCTCTGCCTCTTCACCTACTTGTGCTCTCTCTCTCTCTCAAATAAATAATAAAATCTTGGGAAAAAAAAATATGGTCTACTGAGGGCAAGAAGAAAAATGAAATCCTACTAACATTATTGCCATATTTTTTTGAGGGAAGGGGATAAATATTAGCTAAACCTGTTCTATAAATATAGCTACATATGTTGAGGAAATAAGTTCGAACATGTGGTTAAAATGTAATAGAAGGGAAGTTCTGACTTCCATTAATAGTGGAAGAGTTTGGTTGAACTAACCCTCCTTTAGATAACAATTATAAACAGGGTGAAAAATAAGAAAGAACTATTTGAAAGTTCCTTGAAAGGTACTGGAAAGAAGTCACCCCTAAAAAGACAGGAACAGCGCCGAGTGAGATTTGCAAGTCTGTGGCCTTATGCCTGAGAGGACTTCTTAGTCCACATATCAAGGGAGCGCAAATATCCACAGTTTACTGGTTTGAGGATTCAGAGAACTAAGATTAGAGCAGGCAGGGAGTTGTAAAATTAGGGAAATCCTGGAAAGAAAGAAGCCACAATTAAACCTCAAAATGAGTATAAACTGTGACCAAATTCTTGGCTGATCACTGACTCCAGGAGGTCTGACAATAGCAACTAGAAGCTGAAAGAACTGAGCAGAGATGTGTGCTGCTGTCTATCTCAAAGAAGACAGAGTTTGGACTACAAGTCAACCTAGGAGAACACAAGTCAACAATCTTCAGAGGAACACACAGAGTCCAGAACTCTGCATCATTCACTATGTCCACTATATAATAAGAAATTAGTAGACAAAGAAATAAAAATGTGACCCATAGTAAAGAAAAAAAGGTTATTGACCCCAAGATGTACCAGACATTGGAATTATGAACAAAAGCAATAAGCGCTGCTTATTAGAGATGTGTTCAAGAATCTAAAGGAAAATAGTGTCATATGAATGAAGAGATAAGGAATCTCAACACAGAAACTAAAACTATAAAAAAGAACCAAATGGAAATTTTAGAACTGAAAAGTACAGTAACTGAAAAAAATCACTAGATGATCTTAACAGCATAATGGGGACCACATCAGAGTCAGCAACTTTGAAGAGAGCTCAATGGAACTTATCCAATTTGAAAAACAGAGGAAAAAGAAGTATT